GTCTAGCCGCAGATCGGTTGTATGTGAAACAGCCGTTAACAGCTGTAAAAACGAGCGGGTCTTTCCTGCCCGTGCGTGCGCGAGCAGGAAAAGAATGCCACCTGGAGATGGCAACCCGCCAATGCGAGTCTGCCGTCCGTCCGTTTTTTTTCTACGGGCGGACGGCAACTGGTTAATCATGGGATCACGGTGATTGTTTATATCCTATGGGGGGGATTTATCAAAACTTGAGCAGACAAAATCTGGGGCAGTTGCCTATGGCAACCAATCAGTTTCTCTCTTCAGTTTGTTCAGTAAAGCTTCGAAAATGGAAGGTGGATGCTGATTGGTTGGCATGTACAGCTGCTCCAGATTTTGCCTGCTCCAGTTTTCATAAATTCCCCTCCATGTGCATTAAAGGATTTTTGTATTTTCATTTTCATGATCCTGCAATCCATTTCTTCTTTCTTTTTTCTTCATTGTTGTTTTTAGGGTGGATCCTGGACATCTTCCGTGTGCACATGGATATTTAATAATATGTGATCTTCGGGTTTCCCTTTTTTTACCTCTTATTATGGTATTTTCTTTTTTGAAAAATCTTTTTATTCATTTTGCATAGTAAATAATTACATTACAGTAACAATCCGGGCACCAACATAGCACCCCAATCATACACAGCAGTGTATACAATACAGCATAACGTATGCCGAGAGACATACAGAACAGTACATGTTACATTAACAAAAACTTCCCTCTGACCAGTGGCGTAACAATAGCCATAGCGACCCAGGCGGCCGCTATGGGGCCCGGGCACAGGGAGGCCCGGCCAGGACACCCCCCTGATGCCGTGCGGGCCGCCAGGGTCGCTATGGGTTCGAACGCGCCGCTGTTCAGATCACCGTGATCTGTGCAGCGCTGCGTTCTTCTCCATAGCCGCTGCTGAGTCAATGAGAGTCAGCAGAGGCAGCGGTGGAGGAGGCTGGACGTGTCGGGGAGGCGGGGCCCGTGGGTCAGCATCAGACGTGACGGAGGAGGGGGC